CGATGGGCGCACCATGTCTGAGCACTATGTTGTTCACAAAGAACTTGGCGACTTCGGCAGCTGTCGCACTGTACAGCGAGTCAGTCTCAGCATAACGGGTCAGATAGTCTGTAGCTACGACAATCCATTTCTTGCCTGCACATGATGTCGGGAAAGGTCCTAGGAAGTCCATGCCGACTTGTTGGAGTGGGGCATCCGGAGGGTCTATTGGATGGAGAAGGCCGGCTGGTTTTACGGCTGGAGTTTTGCGCCGTTGACATTGACGACACGTTTTCACGTAGCGCTGCACTGATGCGAGCAACTTAGGCCAATAGTACTTCAGGCGAATCCTGGCGAATGTTCGGCTCACACCCATGTGGCCGGACGTTGGCTCATCGTGGCATGCATGCAGAATTTCCTGTCGCATGGCTGTGGGCACGACTAGTAAAAAGGTTTCGCCATTAGGTTCAAAGTTCCTCCTGTAAAAGACACTTCCTCGAAGGCAGAACGTGGAGAGCCCTCTGGAGAATATGCGAGGTACTTGAACGTCGAGACCCTGCAGGTGTTGTATAAGCGCTAGCAAATCCGGGTCATCTCGTTGTTGTTGAGCGATTTCGGATGTGTCGACAACGCCTAGAAACGGGAAGTCTTCCTCTTCAGGTACACTTGGATCGACGGGAGAGCGTGACAAGCAGTCAGCATCACTGTGTTTCCTTCCAGATTTGTATACGACCGTAATGTCATACTCCTGCAGCCTAAGGCTCCATCTGGCTAGTCGTCCTGACGGATCCTTGAGATTTGCTAGCCAGCATAGAGCATGGTGGTCACTGACAGCTCTGAACGGTCTACCATAAAGGTAGGGTCGAAAAAATGGGCAAGTCTCATCAAAATGGGCAAGTATTGGTGAACCCTGTAGCCGTTTTCTTAATTCATCAAAAGCTTTCTGTTGTTCATTTTTCCATGTGAAGGGCACGTCGTCTTTCGTTAGTTTTGTAAGAGGTTCCGCAATCGTTGAAAAGTTTTCCACAAATCGCCTATAGTAGGCACATAAACCCAAAAATCGGCGCACTGACTTTTTGTCTTTGGGTGTAGGGAACCTCTGAACAGCGGCTGTCTTTTCTGGATCTGGACGAACACCGTCAGAACTAATGACATGTCCAAGGAATCTCAGCTCTTCGAAGCAGAAGTGGCATTTTTCGGGTTTGATTGTCAACTTTGCTGACCGGATGGCTTGTAATACAAGGCGCAGTCGCTCTAGATGTTTGTCGAACGTTGCAGAGAATACCACCACGTCATCCAAATACACCAGGCATGACTGCCATTTCAATCCGGCGAGGACAGTGTCCATCATTCGCTGGAACGTCGCTGGCGCGGAACAGAGGCCGAATGGAAGCGCTTTGAATTCGTAGAGGCCATCTGGTGTTACGAATGCCGTTTTTTCACGGTCCCGCTCGTCTACCTCTATTTGCCAATATCCGCTTTTCAGATCCAAGGAGGAGAAAAACGTTGCGGATCGCAGCCGATCTAGTGTATCGTCAATACGTGGCAAGGGGTATACATCTCGTTTAGTTACACTGTTGAGTTTTCGGTAGTCGACACAGAATCTAAGCGTGTTGTCTTTCTTTTTAACGAGCACTACGGGGGACGCCCATGGACTATTTGAAGGCTGGATGACATCATCCGAAAGCATTTCCTCCACTTGCTTCTTAATGATTTCGCGTTCTTTCTGTGACACTCGATATGGATGCTGGCATATAGGCCTCGTGTCGTCTTGCGTTATAATTCTGTGTTTCGTAATTGACGTGCGCTGGACCTTCGAGGCAATTGAAAAGCAATCAGAGAATTCTTTTACTAAGGCGTAAATCTGTTTCTTTTGACTGTCCGGAAGGCTCTGGTTGACGGTCACGGATGTGTCGATGTTGCAGGCCACTGGTCGAGTGGTTGACGTGGTTAAGCTGCATAGTTCTGTCGCCATACAGAAGTCGTGTAAATAGGCAATAGCCGTGCCTTGAGCGATGTGTTGAAGTTCATTGGAGAAATTCGTAAGTAGGACATCTGCACGGCCATTCGTCAAGTGAACAAGACCCCGAGCTACGCAGACACCTTTTTTCAAAAACAGCCCTACATTTGTATCCGCTATGCCTTCGCGGTTGTAAGATGCGTCATTCTCTACGAGCACCATTATGCTGCAGCGTGGTGGCACAGTTACGTCATCATGAACAACGCGTAGAGCAGTTAGGCGTCCCTCAGATTCCTCTACAGGTATAGCTCGTTCAGTCGAAAACGACACGCTGGACCTACGCAGGTTAATTACGGCGCCATTAGCTCGCAAAAAATCCATTCCTATAATGAGGTCTCTTGAACATTCTGGTAGCACAATGAAATCGGCAACGTAAATAAAGCCCCGTATTTCAAGTCTTGCGGTGCATCTGCCAAGGGGCGTAATAATGTGACCACCTGCCGTGCGTATCTGCGATCCACTCCACTGTGTTACAACTTTGTTTAGCTTCTTCACCATCTTGTGACTTATCACTGAATAATCAGCACCGGTGTCGACTAAGGCATTCAGCTCCCATCCTTCTATTCTCAACCGCAAATCTGAAGTAACACTTTCATGGTTGCACCCATTTACCGGAAATACACCGTCGTCGCCCTCAAGCCATATTGGAGGATCTTCGTAATTGATGTTATCAGCGGCCTCACCTCCACAGGTCGCTTGCTTTAGTTTTCCGGAAGTGGACTTGGAGAGCGATGGCCAGGCTGCCTTGAAGGTGCACGTGGGCTGGATGACCGGTAGCGCATAGGCGATGGTGACCGTGACCGACGTTGGCGTAGAGGTGGCGAGTTCTGGCGCGTAGACAAGTACTCCTCAATTTCCGCTGGTCGTTCGCCGTTTCGGGGGCACGGTGCATACGACGGGAAGCCTCTTAATCCAGCCTGTCGGTAAGGGCAGAATCTGTACAAATGACCCGCTTCGCCACAATGGAAACAAAGAGGCCTGCGCTCGTGATCACGCCAGACGTCACTTTTTCTGGGCCTAGGCTCCGCATAGCGATGCGTGCTACGTGCTCCTGGGGGCAGATAGGTAGCCGTTGGTTCCCGTGGACGAGGTACGCTGCGTGCTGTAGATGGGAGAGGAGTCGTCGCCATCGTAACTGCTGCATTGCTGTGTACCGTTGGTTGTCGGAGAACTTCAGAGTACGTTCGGATAGGTCGAACTGGCTGCAGCTCACGCTCTGGTTCTCGTATGACCTGCCTCAGTTCGTCACGAACAACGTCTGTAACAGATAGTGCAGTTGAATTCTGGGGCATTTGCAGTCTGCTCAGTTCTTCCCGAATAACTGATCTAATGAGCTCTCGCAGGGCTTCAACGTCGTTTCGCACGCCTCCAGAGAATAGCTGTGCAGATGCGCAGTTAACATTCCGGTTGTACTGCCGAGCGCGCTGTTCTAGTGTTTTTTCGATGGCCGTCGCTTCCGAATAAAACTCAGCAACAGTGCTTGGAGGGTTGCGGACGAGAACGGCGAACAGCTCTTGCTTCACTCCGCGCATTAGATGGCGCACCTTCTTATCTTCAGCCATGTTGTGATCCGCACGCTTGAACAGACGGACCATGTCCTCGATGTACATGGCAGCAGTCTCGTTTGTGAGCTGGTTCCTGGATTGAAGAGCAGCTTCCGCTTTTTCCTTTCGGTCTACGTTCGCGAACTTAGCCACTGCTTGTCGTCGAAATACCTCCCAGGTAGACAACGAGGTTTCATGGTTCTCAAACCATGTCTTTGCGAAGTCGTCCAGGGCGAAGTATACGCGACGGAGCTTCTCTCTTTCGTCCCAACCATTCAAGCGCGCCACTCTCTCGAACAGGTCCAGCCAATCTTCAACATCCTCGTACGAGTCGCCGTGGAATACTGGCGGCTGGTGCGGTTGGCTTATGAACACTTGTGCCGGTGTTACCTGGCTAGTCATAGTGGTGGCATCCATAGTTTGAATTCCCCTTGGTGTGGAGTGAAGAGGACCGAACTCAGGTGAGTCACCTCGAAGACGGCGACTTGCCCTCTGGTGTACAGGAGTCACTTCCACGGGGTTGATACGCTGGTCGTCGGGGCTACGCTGTCTTGAGCTCGCGGGGCTTCGATTCATACCCAGCACCTCCACCAGAAATGTAGCGATGCTGAGGCAGACAGGCCAAAAAAACAAGCAACTTTATTAGGGCGAACTTGTGCCCACAAGTCTAATGACTATGGTCGTCGAGTCCAAGTAGCCGAGAGGCACAGAGTCAACTAACTTCCTCTTTCTCGTTGTTGGAGCGCACGAACGCGTGACGCATGCCAGCCGGGTCTTGCTGGTGCTCTTGCCATGATGATTGCGGCGGCTACTTGAACGTGGCCAACCTGTCGCGGCAATATGATTTCCGCTTGGAAAAAAACATGAGTGCTGCAAACGAGTGCGTCTTAAGCTGAACTAAGTGCAGCCCGCCACCTCCGCCGTACGAAGGATGCATTCTGTAAGATCACTCCGTGTGCGAGGCCTGGCGTCAATGTCTGGTCAAGCAAAAAAAAAAGAAAAAGAAACGTCCTACTCTTCTTTATGTACCACTGTGAGGGGGGAGGGAAGCGGCGTCGTTTGAGCCGCAACAGTGAACTTTCGCCAAAAGAATGGTGTCGCGTGCTTTCTCGGTAGACCTTGACGGACAGCTCGTGCATACCTGATGTGCTCTCATCGCTTTCTGTTAAGACGGCAGACAGAGCGAAAACCTCTTCGTTCACTGGAGCAGCCGCATTCTTACATCGGCGTTTCGTAGAGTTACACAATACCGGATCCGAAAGAGTTAGCTGCCAGCATTACATCGTACAATATTCATTTTTTTATGTTTTGATTTGCTTTGGTAAACGACGTGTGTAATTTCAACCAGTGAATGCACGTACGCTAATTTTTCTGCACTCTGCAGTCATAAACAGCATCGCTGTAAATGGTGTTCCCAGAAGTCGCCACCATTTCCCTCTGTTTTCGTGAATGCGCAGGCGGTGTCGGCCTGGCGCGGCCGTCCCTTGGAGTACCCAGATGCGGATGACGAGCAGCGGCGGCAGCACGAAGAGGAAGAAGAGGAGCGTCTCCGTTGGCTGTCCCAGCTGCCTGCCGCTCGCCACCCCCAGGAGCAGAACCTCGAGGTGACGCTGGCGTCACAGCAACTGCAGCTGCGCGTGTGCCGACCCGTGCAGAGGGGAGAGCCGCTGCTCGCCTGGTTCTCCCGCGAGCTGGCCGACTTGCTCAGGCTGCCCGCCGCACCTCGCAACACCCCAAACGCACACGGTACATCTACATAGTCACCTATAATAAGAATTATTATTAATATTATTATTATAAATATTATTAATATTATTAAACATTTAATAATACATGCATATAAAGAACAAAAAAGCACTCCAGAGGGTATGACGGTCAATGTGAAAATCAACAAAGATAGATAGATAGGTAGATGGATAACAGATAAATAGATGAATAAATAAGTAGATAGATAGATTTCATATGAGCGGGTAGGCTGGCAGTTTCCAGCGAGAGGTGCATGACGTTACTCTATTCATTTGGCAGTAGAGATAAATATAGAACTTGAATATTGGGAGCTGGGCATTGAAGCAATTACAGCAAGATAACAGGAAGCACGGCAACAATAGAGGTGGCAACAAAGGAAAAAAAAGGGGGCTTTATTAACGGGAGGTCAAGCCACACACTGCCACATGACCACTCACGAACTCCATTGAACACTTTGTCTTTACGACAGCGGGGATGCAGGAAAGTTAGCAGGGCACAACTGGCTTGGTCGTGTCAGAAAGCACGAGTTGTTGAGTATCGGGCACCTTACTCAAAGGAGAAATTCTTTTTTGTAGTGGCTGAGCGGCACGAAAATTGTACGAGGTTTTATTGTAAAATTGCCTAAAGATACAGGCGATGAAATGTCCACGTGTAAATGAAATATGCTGTGAAATATATATACCGTGAAGTAGTGAAATATATTGTGTATATATACACTGTGAAATGAGTGAAATATACTGTATGTACTTTACGACATGATTTTTTGGTCGCCATTGAATCGCTTATTTGAAACATAGATAAGCTGTGTGAAATATGTCCACAAGGTCGAGTAAAGGGAGACTTGTATGCCCCCTGACGAGGCCTTAGCTTCAGACTTGTGTATCTGACAGCCAGGCGCAAAATCAATGCAAAATTTTCAAGTGCAAAAATAATTAGAGTCCTCATTACACAGCCTATGCAGACAAGAATGAACATAAATATCACCAAAACACTAATATTGTGAAAAAAGGTTATATGAACGCTAACTTCGTATACGAAATTCCAGATGAAGGTTTTGCCAAGCTGATATGCATGGATTTCATCCATTGACTATGACGTAAAATGGTAATTTTTAGAAATTTATGATTGATGGCGGAAAAATATTATAGGTTAAAAGAAGACATGAAAGGTAAAATCATTTTTTGTTTGTGGCAAAGCATATATGGGCTTGCATTGGCTAGTTTAATTGAGGATGAGTACGCATTGCACAAATCCAATATTCGTTAATAAATAGCTTTAGTACCGTTGTTATTTATTGGTCTTTATCCTACCAGTGAAATAGCGCATAGGTCTATGTCACTTCTATGCATAAAGTTCACGAGAACTAACAGACAATGACATCGAGAAAAGTAAGGAGGTGCTGATAGCTGTAGTTATAAGGAAAACAGAAAGAAAGAACAGTAAACGAAAAGATAACTTGCAGCTGGCAGCATCCGAACCTGCGAACTTCAAATAACGCTTCCGATGGCCTATCAACTGAAGCACAGCGGCGGTCATCACCTCGTTCACTTTATACGCTATATTTGAGTGATTGAACATGCATCATGTATAAATATATACATATTTGTCGTTGGTTAGTTATCATTCATATTGTGATTAACAAAGGAAGAAGGCGTGTTCCTATTTTTTCTTCTTGTGTTCACGAAGCCATTCGTGTGTGAGAGGGCTGTTTTATAGATAGTGCGCAACTTTCACCGAAACAGGTAAAACGTGAACAATACCTCATAATGTGCTGTTGCGGACAATGCTTAAATAACATTTTTTTTTAGTGTGGCTATCTGTGCTACATGTATGAATATGCTCAGCATGGTTTACACTTTTGTCCTGCTGAAATAATTTATAACGACTGAAAGACAAATTCACATTGCTTTCCTTTCGAAACAACTGATTGTTTAGAAGAGTAAATGTTTTGGCCAGTTTGTGATGCATACTTGGTGAACAGAAGCGCAATAAATGGGACAAAATGAACTCATTGTTATTTGATAAATGGCTTTGAAGACGATATGCCCGCCATCCCAATTCGCTGAAGTTTTCTCTTACCAACAATTTTTGCAAGCGAGGATATTTTCGATGGCCGAGACATTGTTTTGGGAAGACCAAAATATTATTTGATGCTTGTATCGATACCGCAATATAGCTGATACAAACCAATGCCTAGGCCTGACAAGACCCGTCTACATTTAATACAAGCATGCATCTTCGAGCATGGCTTGGCCGGATGGAGTAATTTTGTAGTGAAAACATGAGCGCATTATAAGAATAAAGAAAATGTAACAGAAAGTGAAGTACCTCGTGCTTCCTTCTCCGTTATTTCAGCCCAACTTGGCTATAGTTTAGGTATCTGCATGCCAACACTGCCCCACCAATGTCAATTAATATACCGTATGCACTCGACTAAGGGCCACGCTCGTGTAAGAGCCACTCCCCCCAACTTGGCTTTCCGAATGTTGAAAAAATATAAAAGTTCTCCCCAGCAAACGGCAGCGTCGTTGCGTCACGCATACAGCGTATTTCGTAGGAGCAACCAGATGACCATTGATGTCCTGCGGCTTCGTCCCGTGGCGCTATCTATGAGTATATGGCAAAAAATAAGTATAGTTTTTTTTTTCATTCGTGGATCTTAAATCAAACAAAAATTTCACACTTGAGTAAAATCGTGCAAAAAAGGGTGATCCTTCCACAATTGTATACGGTGAACACAAACAAACTGAAATTTGACCCCCGCTGTGTTAAATACGTGCAAGCAGCCTCATACCTCACCCCATTCTCGCCATGGCAGCTCATACATATATCGGTGCACTTTTACAGGTGGTGAGAAATCCTACCGGTGTCCCCTCTGCAGCGATTCTTTCGCAAACCCGTACCCAGTGGTTTCGCACCTGATGTACCGCTGCCCCGCGAGGCACCATGCCGCGTCGATTGAGGTGCCACCTTCACCCCTTTCGCCCACGATGCCACGGCGGACAAGTGAGAGCGTGCCGGAGCCGGTCTCCAGCATTGATGCCAAACCACGCACGCCACTTACGACTACTTCGCTGCCGGCCGCAAGGAAGGTCAAGGGCTTCGACATAGCTTCGCTCACCGACTGCTGCAGCAGCGAAGGAAGAGAAGGCAAGCACCCGGCAGCCAGCGTGAAAGACGCTAAATTGGCACTCGACAGGTACGTGTACCAGCCTTGCTCTTTCGCGTGCGCCTGCAACCAGCCACAATAACGATAAAAATGACTGCTTAGGTTTTACGTGCCTAAATCACGATATCACTATGAGAGACACATGCAGTAGTGGAGGACTTAGGATGTTTCAACCACCTGCGGTTTTTTAACATGCACCTAAACGTAAACATAAATACCTGTAGCAGTTCGCCTCCATCGAGACGCGGTCGTTGCTGCCGGTGCTCGATCGCGTGACATTCTGGTGAGCAGTGAGGTGCCAAAACCACTAGACTACCGCGTTAGGCTTCTGCTACGAAACAAAGAGATGCGGGAGAGAGTAGTGGCAACGAAAGAGCTTTCATATCACCAACCAGTAACGTCAAGATACCTCCTTCACACTGAGCGACTGCATCATAAATGCAATCACGTTGATATTACCGATGGGCAAATGCGAGCACAATTGGTTCCATTTTCTGTGTGCAGCCTGTGTAGGTCCTGTGTATTTTCTGTGCACATTGTAATTGACCGGCCACTAGCCACTGAGGGCTTTTGACTTTTGACCACCTGGGTGCAAATATTTCTTGTTTTTTATGGTCTTTAGAAAAACAAATACAGTTTTTTTGATTGATTTATTGATTCACCTTCTGCTCAGGTGTGGATACGCAACAGGCATACAATTTGAAGTGTAGCCTACAGACATGTCACCTCTGCTATTTGATGTTCGGGAGACTGCGTTAGCTGGGGCTATCCCTTTTTTTCAGAGCCAAGCTTCCAGTGAAGTGACATTTCATGTTTTGTTCATAGACTCGTGCACTAATAGCTTAGCGGGTGAGGAGTCACACTGCTACGCTAGAGAATCTGCATTCGAATCCCGGCTATCCCGGTGACAGTGGCCGCATTTTGATAATAGCTAATTGCGAAAACACCATTCTACAAAGAATAATGTGTACCGTAAAGAAACCTGAATTCTTGGAGGTATTTCGGAGTCACTCTTGTAGCGCCCCTTATCATCATATTAGTATTTTAGCTCTTCAAAGCTCAGCAATTATTAATAATTATTTTTGATTGATTGCTTTGAGGGGTTTCACGTCCCAAAACTACCATAGGAGTAGGAGCGACGCCGTAGTGGAGGGCTCCGGAAATTTTGACCACCTGGCGTTCTTTAACGTGCACCCAAATCTGAGCACACTGGCCTAAAACATTTCCGCCTCCATTAGAAATGCAGCCACCGCAGCCGAGATTCAATCCCGCGACCTGCGGGTCAGCAGCCGAGTATCTTAGGCACTAGACCACTGCGGCGGGAGGCAGAATGGTGGAGGACAATGCAGTGTACATTGAATAAAATTCTTGGAGAAGTCGACTACAGCATGCCTCATAAGTCTATCGTTAATTGGACATGCACAACTTCGGGTATTGTCATAATACTAGTGGATACTCATTACAATCTACAAGGCGTTCAATATGACAAAGAAGCCATTTTGCTTGAAGTAGCATTCATCTATGCAACACACATTCAACAATCTGTAGAGCGCGAAAACGTAAAACAGATTGGCAACCTCGTCCTTCGGCTTCTCCACCGGCTTCAATGAAAATTTCTTCGCAGATAACTTCTCAAAATTTGCTGATAGTGTTACTTCGCTCCAGACAAGGGGCTGCTGCACATATGCATTCGAGCACAAAAAAAAGCTAGTATCACCAACGTTGCTCTCATAGTTTGAATGCTGTTTTCTCATGAACAGGTTTACAACAGCTCGAGCAGAAGCCACGACGGCGTCGCCACAGGCGCACTCGCCGGCGGCGGCGTCCGATTATGGTGCGGCGGCTTGCGTTCCCGATGACCTGTCTTTCAAGCGGCCCTCCAAGAAGCGTGCCAGGTCGGACGACGACGCTGCCACAACGGCGCCGCCTTCAAGCGCCTTCAAGAAGGTCGACAAAACTGACAGGTAAGGTGGCGGCAAAAACGGTAAAACACCCCTTTACTTTGCAGAGACTTTGGGCGAAAAGGCGCATATTCCTTAAAAATTAAACAGATGAGCGCACAGACGATGCCACCGGCCCAACACGTCACTATCTGGGTCATTGTTCAGGAAAGATACTTACAATACAATTGTTGTGAAAATTGAATTTCAGCCAATACCTAATCGGACACACTAATACCGAAGACAACTTGCTAGTCGGAAAGAGAATGTGAGAAACGGTTTCTAATACTGTTTGTCACTTTTTTGCTATTTAAATTTTTTGAATGCTGTTGTGTATTGCTATTTAGCGACTTCAATCGGGATCTTCTATTCAGGTCACTCAAAAAAGTTGCACCTCATCAGGTATGACCAGTACACATTCCCTGCTCTAACTTTAGTCTATTGCGCCCAGGTCCCCACCCGGACTGTCCCCTGTGGCGGGAGGTTTTCCGTTTGCCTTCCCTTACGGCCTGCCCCCATCTAGCCCTCTTTGCGCCCAGTTCCCTCTGCTTCCCGTGTTCGGGCCACTCCTGGACCCCAAAGCAGAAGACGAATTCGAGAAGAACGCTTCGGCCGCCGGCAACAACTCGTCGGCGGCATCAGCAGCTGCTGCCGCAGCAGCCGCCGCTACTGCGGCCGCGCGGCGGTTCCTTCCTGCCGCCGCCGCAGCAGCCGCAGCAGCCGCAGTGGCGCAGTACCCGGCTGCCGCTGTGCTGCCCTACCTTCCGCCATCGCTGGCAGCGCTGTCTCTTCCGTCTCAAAACTGGTGCGCTAAGTGCCAGACGAGCTTCCGCATGACAAGTGACCTGGTGTACCACATGCGCTCGCACCACAAGCGAGAACCGGACCCGGCCAAGAAACGGCGGGAGGACAAGCTGCGCTGCCACATTTGCCACGAGAGCTTCCGAGAGCGGCACCATCTGACTCGGCACATGACATCTCACCAGTGACGTGGCGATGAAGCGCGCCAGGCTTGTGTCACTGCACCAATGACCACCGCGTGAGTGCTGGTTTCCTCGAGCATTCCCTTGGAAGACAGTTTAACAAGAGAGCATGGCTGGCCGTGCGTCGTTCACGACGTAGTTTCGTTGTTGGCACCGCGCGACGTCGCCATCATCGCGGGCATCAGTGCTCAGCACTATCGGTTGCACAGCTTTTCAGTGCCGGGAAATTCAGAGTGACAGCGCTACTATGGCTGATGCATAAGCCATTATCTCTCTTTCTTTCTTTTTGAAGAGTCCCATGGACGTTTACTCGAAGATGGTTTTGGACGTCTGTTCGTAATAGCTTGAAAAAAGTGCACGTTTTGAAAGCCGCAGTCATCAAAGCACGCCTTTTCTGGGACTGTTAGCTGCGTGTGACTTGAACCAAACGCCTTCGTGGCACCACACCAGAGAAAGGTTTGAGCTGTCTGGTGGCTTGTTCCTATTGGTTTTCGTGGTATTGTCCTTGGGGATCTCGTTAGCGCCCAATAACCCTTGTTTTGTTGTTTCCTATGAACTCTCAAGAGAACTTCTGACTGTCTGCGCGAGATATGGCCAAGTCTAGTCATTTCATCGTTGTCCTGTGTGTTATTTTCGTGGTGTCAAAGATGTACTTAAAATGATTGCTCATGACATGAGCCGCGAGATTCCGGAAAGCAAATCAACTTGTTTCTCGCTGAAGCCGTCACGCCAGCGGAATGGCAGGCCCATGAGCATAACATAGACGGCGCTGAAGGTTCGCTATCATGGACTTTATGCCGTGGTTTTAAGAAGGACGGGATGTAAAAAGTTTTGAGTTCTCATATGTACAATTACCCTCTGGCGACCTTTTCTTATAAGAAGATGCTGAATATGACTTTCTCCTATTTAATGCATTACATTAAAACAAATGACACCATATATATGTTTCTTTTTTCATATAAAAATAGCAGCAATAAAACAGCCTGTAAATACACTCTACAGGCATGTCAATCAACAGCACTTCTGGTAGAGAAGACATATGATAAAACACAAAAGTTTAGGTTGCTGCGAAATATATTTAGCCCATACGATTGCGTTTTCTTGATAAGTGGGAGGTTGCCGAGACAATAACAATTTCTTAGCTTTTTGTAATGAAGCACTAGTGCATTTTTGTTTCATGAATCAGCGTCTCATGTGTATTTCGTTATGAAAAGCTTACCAATTTTCAGTCATAACAGTGCTTTTCGAACATGATGTCATCAAACAGCATAAAACATAATAGAGGCACTAGTAAGTCACTGACAAAGGAGAAAATTATATGAAGCAACAGCTACATATAGTATATGTTCACGTGAAAAATAGCACGCTTGTGAAACTATTCGCGAGTACATTTAAGATTGTTCGTGATCACCCTTGAGAAATTGTCAAACTAAATGCTGTGCGGTTTTAGTTTTGTAACCACAGACAAGAATGTGCGTTATTTTGTTATACGGTTACTAGAATCGTTAAACGAGTGTTAGCCTGATTCAGGTTTTTTCGTGTCGTTATGTACGTGACAGTAGGAGTGGGCAGATTGGCGCTGTCAGGTCATTTTCAAAAGAGAAGCGTTATATACACCCACAATATATTTGTAACAGCTCACTGCAGTGTGCGTGTTTACATCTAGATGCCCAAAACTTTGCTTTGAAAGAAGTTCAGCGAACTGAAAGCGCGGGGTTAAACACAGACACAAAGCAAAGAGGAGGCACAGAGCATGAGCATGAGAGGAAGCATATAGCAAGAAGTGCCGGTAACTGAGTGCCTCAACGAAATAGCAACACAACTGCTGTTTTGCCTTCCTCGCTCTTTCTTATTGGTAATTTTTTTTGCGTTGTGTGTGTGTTTTTAGGTTTTAAACTGCAACCATTCGGTTGCAATGCTGTGCAATTCAAGCTTCTAGGAAAAACTAATGTCTGCTTTACACTTATGAAAAAAGCAACTTTTTATGGGCATCTGATTTTTTAATCAGCGTAAGTCAAAAGTCGCACCTACTTTCTTTACAAACCTACAATGTATTTCAGCTGTCTAGTTATTTTGTTGTGAAGAGAGCATAGTTATTGTTTTTGTTTTTCCTTCGCCAGGCGCAGCCACCTTACATAACACTTCTACAAACCATCTGCCGTAAACTACCGTAAGTCTTTTATAAAAAATAGAAAAGCTTGATGATACCTATCACATGTCAGAAGCACAGACAGGGAAACTTTCTGGACATTGTTCATAATGTGAACAAAACTTTTCCGGCGTCGAGTTTTATAAAAAGCTCTCTGGTTACATAATGGTTTAGGGTGTACAGATTGCTTTTTTTGGAGGGGGGGCCACAATTTTTGCCTCTACATCCCAAATGTCTGTTATTTCATTGCAAAGAAGCCATCTCGCATAGGATGATGTTTTGTTTCTACTGACGCTGAATGGAAAGTTGGAAAAAAAAGTAATCTAAATCGGGTGTGAAAAAGCCTCGTGCACCACACATGCTGCTGAAGGGCTTAAACACGCGGCAAATGCTGGCTCCTTGAGTTGTAGTTTCCAGGAGTTCTGGTTTTCTAGTATAAATGAGTTATAGCATAACTTTGTGGTACTTTTGATGATGATTATTATGATGACGATAATAGTGTTTTCATGTTTGCGATGAAAACTTCTAATTTTTCTCAATTTCTGTTTTTTTAATCCTGAACTTGAATTTTATTCATGTCGGGGGTAAAGTGAAAGCTATAAGCCAGGAAAGTATACACTTTCCTGGCTTATTAAAAGGTACCTATTTCTGCCAGTAAGTAGTACTCTACGCAGCACATGATTAGGATAACAAGCAAATGGCGAGGCACGTAAGCCTAGAGTGGATGTCAGTGCTGTTGACGCATCCGGGCACCCACAAAGTGAGACAGATAGTCATAAATGCCATAACATTGATTGCTGAAATAAATCCTTATGCAATGCTTGTTATCTGCAAGAAAGTGGTAGGGGAGAGTGAACCAGATGTTTCAGGCTTTATGGCTGCTGCTATTTCCTCTGCAGTTTCGAGGAAAAGGGTCATGTGCTGCAGGGCGAGAATAAGTAAAAATGAATTATTCACATATGTTCACTCGCCTAATGTAACCACCATCAGCGAACATATTAATTAGTGGCATGTGAGAATTTCAAATGTATAGCGCTATGAAAAAAAAGCTTGCGAGCGTTCCTGCGTTCTCATCATGACGCAAACAGATACACACGCTTGCGAGAGGTGAGACCCATCGCAACATTATGAAATCAATGTCATACATTGTATGCTAAGTGGAGTAAACAGTATATACTAATTCCTGCTTGAGACTGCGCACAAGACAATATAATACTACTTACTGTATTATAATATCTCAGTGGCCACCAAATTTTGGTTCAGAAACAGATACGATGTAGGTGCCAGAAGTTTTTCAGCAGGTTCAGTGCCAAAACCACAAGAAAGTGCAAGGGTTTCGCAGACCGTTGCAATATCGTGTGCACATCACACCTTCATGTATACACATAATATAATAGATATTGTGTTTCGACGTTTCACGTGCACAAAATCGGTGTCAGACTTGCGTATGGTGACGACAATGTCATGGTTTTGACGGAATAAATATCTCTGTTGTTGGAAAAGAAGCTGGCCTGCTTTCACAGATCATTGCATCATTTTCATCTTTTGTTCACGCTAAAGAAAATTAGTTCTAGTCATTTTAGCTTACTGTGTGAATGAATCAAACGTCAACAGCTTTACGCTGGGCTGCTGTTGATTGGTTGATTGATATGAAGAATTTAACGTCCCAAAACCACCAAATGATTATAAGAGATGCCGTAGTCGAGGGCTCCAGAAATTTCGATCACCTGGGGTATTTAACGTGCACCCAAATCTGAACACATGGGCCTACAACATTTCCGCTTTAATCGGAAATGTAGCCGCAGCAGGCGGGATTCGATTCCGCAACCTGCGGGTGAGCAGCCGAGTAGCTTAGCCACTTGACCACCGCGGCGGTGCACTGGACGGCTGTAATTACATTTCTGGGGGGGGAGGGGGGGGGCAAATGAGACCGCATACTGATTTGAAGATCCGATGATGGATGGTCGCATAGAGGTGCTCTACAGCAGTCGCTTCATTCAGTGAACATGGCAGATTTTCAGTCGCACAGAGCGACAGCACCGCTGAAACGGATCTTTTCAGAAACCGAGCCGTAGTCATCGCAGGGCGAACTTCAAGTCTCCGATTTACGCTGGTTGGCTGTGAGATGGCATGCACAGTTATGGATTTAAGTGCAACACCTACAAGGGTTTATCACAGTGTACTACTAATTTCAACGCACTCGTCCTATCTTTGTGGGGATCATATTTTTGAAAGTTATTAACACTATTCCTGTTAAGCTTGCCTTCAGGAAGGAGTCGTTTAGAGCTCCAATTCTTTATAGCGGATGGCAAGTTGAGAAGCGTCCGCTAGCGGAAATCGATGTTGAGGTAAAAGCAGGTGGTCGAACTCTGTAATCTCCTCTGTGGAGAGGTTTGTCACGCCCCCTTTCGGTCGCATTCCTTAGCAGATCCAGCAAAAAATTTACTTTAGACATGTAATATAACGCTTGAATAAACCTTGCACAAGTTACTTCAAAACTCTGGTAACATTCCTTTTAGATACCTCCCTCGAAGTGCACAGCCAGTCCGACTTGACTTTCACCCTGAGGTTAAAGCTAGAGCGCTAAGTTAATGCAGAAGAGGACCCAGAAGAAGGGGCATGGTACACAGAAGAGCTGCGCTTCGGTTTGTCGTGTATTTTCTTCGTGGGACGTCTCCTCTGTTTGCACAATAACGTAAACCTCGGTGTTATCTATCAACTGTCTCTAACAAATTTTTATTGACTACCATCCACCGCCTATGGAGAACAAGTGCTACCCAGATGGGACGCCCAAAATTTACATGATGCGCCACCCTGGCGAGCTGGCTGAGAAGTAGCTAGTAGTAGACACCTGTCT